TATATTCATCCAGATAAATATCCAGATGAATTTAACGTCCAATTTTTTATTTCCTTTAAAAAGTCTATAGACATCTAGAATAGATCAATTTCAAACAACTAGTCAGAATTTCTTGGCAACTTAATAACCAAAAAATCAAAGACAGTCAGCTAACAGATCAACAAAAGATATGAACACATTTCACTGCTCATTTAATACTGTACCCAGATTTAACCAACCCCCAGAAGTCATAATTACCATAATCATAGGGAAAATGCTGCTAATGTAATGAATTCTTTTTTCTGTCCCTTCTCTTTTTTTTCTTTTTGGCTTTTGGGCCACACCTGGTAGTGCTCAAGGATCAATCCTGGAGGACTATATGTGGTGCCAAAGATCAAACCCAGGTCAGTTAAGTGCACGGGAAGTGCCCTACCCTCTGTACTATTTCTCTGACCCACACTAATGTCATAAATGTTTTCAAGTTTTATTATGTACCTTAAATTGAGTAAAAATAAATAGGAAACTATTTCTTTTTCACTTAGGAGATATGACTAAAGGTTGCAATATTTAGCATCATTTTAGTTTTTTACTTGTTTAACAAGTTTTGACTATAAATACTTAAACCTCCTTTATTTACCTAAAGAGCTTTCACATAGATTTAGAAGCTCTGCACTTCAAAATACAGAGATAGCCCATGGAATAGGAAAAATTATTTATCCAATACCCATAATATAAGGGGGTTATATCCAGGATATATAAAACACTGGTAGAACTTTACAAGAAAAAAAATCCTCCAATCCCATCAAATAATGGGGAGAGGAAATGAACAGAAATTTCCACAAAGAAGAAACACAAATGGCCAAAAGGCACATGAAAAAATGCTCTACATCAATAATCATGAGGAAGATGCAAATCAAAATGAGATACCATCTTACACGACAGGGAGTGGCACACATCAAAAAGAACAAGAATAACTAGTGCTGGTGTGGATGTGTCAGACAGGAATTCTCATTCATTGTTGGTGGGAATGCAGACTGGTATAGCCTTTTTGGAAAACAATATGGACATTCCTCAAAAAAACTAGAAATTGAGCTTCCATATGACCCAGCAATACCATTTCTGGGAATATATACCATGCATTCAAAACAACACAATAAAAATGATACTTTCACTTTTACGTTCATTTGCAGCATAAGTCACAACAGCCAGGATCTGGAAATAACCGAAGTGCCCAAGAACAGATGCTTAAAGAAATTATTGTAGGGCTGGAGTGATAGCACAGTAGATAGGATATTTGCCTTGCATGTGGCCGACCCAGGTTCGATTCCCAGTATCCCATATGGTCCCCCGAGCACCGCCAGAAGTAATTCCTGAGTGCATGAGCCAGAAGTAACCCCTGTGCATCACTGGGTGTGACACAAAAAGTAGGAAAAAAATGAAAGAAAGAAAAAAAATTATTGTATATCTACACAATGGAATACTATGCAGCTGTTAGAAAAGATGAAGTCATGAAATTTGCTTATAAGTAGATGGAAATGGATTAATATAATGCTAAGTGAAATGAGTCAGAAAGAGAGGGATATAAAATGACTGCACTCATTTGTGGAACAAAAAATAACATAGTATAAGACTAACACCCAAGTACAGTAGATACAAGTTTTAACACTTTTAAGCACAATTTGGTAATTAAATGTGTAGTCAGTACCCAAGTACAGTAGATACAAGGACAACTGGTCCATGATTAGAAGCCTGCATCAAGTTCTGGGAGAAAAAGCAGCTGGGATAGAAAAGGGACCACTAAGTCAATGATGGTTGGAGGGATTGCTCAGGATGGGAGGTGTGTGCTGAAATTAGACAAAGAAACTAACATGATGGCCTCTCAGTATCTGTATTACAAACCATAATGCCCAAAAGTAGAGAGAGAATAAGAAGGAAAGTGCCTGCCACAGAAGTGAGGGAGGGGTAGAGTGGTGTGGTGAGAGGGATACTGGGGACACTGGTGGTAGGAAAGGTAGACTGGTGGTGGGATGGGTGTTCAATCATTGAATGACTGAAACTCAATCATGAAACCTTTTTAACTATCTCATGGTGATTCAATAAAAAAAATAAACTTATTGATTTGAAAATTTTCAAATATTGCCTCTTATGTATTTAAAACAAAAGAACTTAGCCTCAAATTCAAATATACCGGTATTTATAAATTTTCACCTTTCAAGAAAGGCTCTGATATAAGTGATTTAAATATATATTTTCATAGTTTTAACACTTTTTTTGGGGGGGTGTCACCCCGGCGATGCACAGGGGTTACTCCTGGCTCTGCACTCAGGAGTTACTCCTGGCAGTGCTCAGGAGACCATATGGGATGCTGGGAATTGAACCCAGGTCGACCGTGTGCAAGGCAAACGCCCTACCCGCTGTGCTATCTCTCCAGCCCCAGTTTTAACACTTTTAAGCACAATTTGGTAATTAAATGTGTAGTCAGAAAATTAACATCAAGAAAGCATACCTATTTCGTTTCAATGACATGTGCTCTATGGATGAGGCATAGATGTCATTTCAGATGAAGGCTTCTCCAATCATTACTGATTATTTACTTTACATAGAATCAAAGAAGTTACAAGTCACAAGTGACTTAAAATGAAGAATACTGACCAGAAAAGGTATCACTATGGATACTTATTTATACTCTTAAAATATGCAGTGAAGTCACAAAGGGTAGCAAGTCAAGCTCTGCATGCTCCCCCTACTGGTGGCAATTTTCAAACCGAATTACAATCCTATTACTGCAAAGTAAAAATTTCAACATAAAAGAACACATATCAAACCCATATCTTAGGACATACCAGAGATATTAATAGTATTACTATAACAAATTACAAGCAGCAGTAGGACACTGCTAGACAAAATAACAACACTATATCCACTGCAAGAAATATTATTTCTTGGATCAAGTACTCCTGAAATTCATATTGAACAACAAATGTCCACGAATAGCTAAAGTAATTCTTGGGAAAAAGACAATGGGAGGTATTCCCCTCCCCAACCTCAAACTCTACTACAAAGCAGTAATAATTAAAACAGTATGGTACTGGAACAAAGGCAGAGCCACTGACCAATGGAACAGGGTGGAATATCCTTACAACCCCAAATGTATGAACAACTAATCTTTGATAAAGGTGAAAGAAATTGAAGCGGAGCAAGTAAAGACTCTTTAACAAATGGTGCTGGCATAAATGGACAACCAAATGCAAAAATTGGCTTAGACCTCGACCTAACACCATGCAAAAAAGTTAGATCAAAATGGATTAAAGATCTCAACATCAGACCAGAATCCATAAGGTACACTGAAGACAAGGTCGGCCAAACCCTCCACGATATTGAGGCAATGGTATCTTCAAAGATGACACTCCACTGACCAACCAAGTAGAAACAAGAGAAATAAATGGGACTATCTTAAACTAAGAAGCTTCTGCACCGCAAAAGATACAGTGACCAAAATACAATCTACAGAATGGGAAAGGATATTTACCCAATACCCATCAGACAAGGGGTAGATATCAAGGATATATAAGTTACTGGTTGAACTCTGCAAGAAGAAAACATCCAACCCCATCAGAAAATGGGGTGATGAAATGAACAGAAACTTTCTCAAGGAAGAAATATGAATGGCAAAAAGGCACATGAAAAAATTCTCTTCATCACTAATAATCATCAGGGAGATGGAGATCAAAACAACTATGAGATACCACCTCACACCACAGAGACTAGCACACATCCAAAAGAACAAAAGCAACCGGTGTTGGCATGGATATGGGGAGAAAGGGACTCTCCTACACTGCTGGTAGGAATGTAGACTGGTTCAACCCTTCTGGAAAACAGTTTGAACGCTTCTCAAACAATTAGAAATTGAGCTCTGATTTGACTCAGCAGTACCACTCCTGGGACTATATCCCAGAGATGCAAAAGACTATAGTCGAAGTGACATCTGCACTTGTTTGTTCATTGCAGTACTGTTTACAATAGCCAGAATCTGGAAAAAAACCCGAGTGCCCGCAAACAGATGACTCGTTAAAGAAACGTTGGTACATCTACACAATGAAATTTATGGAGTTGTTAGAAAAGATGAAGTCATGAAATTTACATACAAGTGGTTCTACATGGAAAGTATCATGCTAAGTGAAATGAGTCAGAAAGAGAGGGACAAACTCAGAAAGACTGCATTCATCTGTGGAATATAAAATAACAGGATAGGAGACTAACACCCAAGAATAGCTGAGAAAAGTACCAGGAGGTTTGCTCCATGGCGTGGAAGCGAGCCACACATGCTGGGGGAAAAAGGCAGCTCAGATAGAAAAGGGAACACCAAGTAAAGGGTATTGGGAGGATCTGCCCAGGATGGGAGATGCATGCTGAAAGTAGACTATAGACCGAACATGATTGCTACTCAATGCAAACCACAGCACCCAAAAAGAGAGAACAAACGGGAATGCCCTGCCACAGATGCGGGGTGGGATAGGGGATGGGGGTGAGGGGTTGGGAGGAATACTGGGATCAGTGGTGGTGGAGAATGGGCACTGGTGGAGGTATGGGTACTTGATCATTGTATAACTGAAACCCAAGCACAAAAAATTGTAAGGCTACAACTGTACCTCATGGTGTTTCACTAATCGCTCAGCTCGAGCGGGCCCAGTAACGTCTCCTTCGTGAGACTTGTTGTTACTGTGTTTGGCATATCGAATACGTCAGGGGTAGCTTGCCAGGCTCTGCCATGCAGGCGAGATACTCTCGGTAGCTTGCCAGCCTCTCCGAGAGGGGTGGAGGAATCGAACTCGGGTCCGGCCATACTGGCTGCGTGCAAGGCAAACGCCCTACCACTGTGCTATCAAAAATTTAAAAAATAAAAATAAAAAAGAAATATTATTTCCAAAACCTAACTTAAAAACAAATAAGCTTAGTTAAAACTTGAGTGAGTTAGCTCTAAAGACCTTTAGCTCTAAAGACAGGTTAAAATTTCTATTCACCTCTAAAGACTCCTTAAAGTCCCCAGCTGAAGCTGCATCTTCCTCTTCATCATCAGTGAACTGATCCTGGGAACAGTAGTGAGTGCTATATGCAGAATGCTCTTCTATTGCTTCCAACCAGTTCTGGAATAAAAAGTGATTAACAAGTAAAATTAAAAGCACTTTTATTCAAAATAGAAAGTATGAAAAATTGTAAAGCATAAAATTTTCAAGGAGAAAAAAATAATAGTATTTTTTAATAAAAAATCAACAATGAAATAACAGGGCAGGTCCTTTGTCCGTGATATATCTAGAAAAAATACATTCCTGACACTTTTTAAGAGATAATTATATTTACATATGCAGTAATATCAATATTCAATACCTTAATTATAGAAATTAAATGATGGGTGGAAAAACTGTTCACTTAAAATAGGTTTTGCAACACTGCTGAGTAAGTTCTTGTATAATAATGGATCCAGAAACATAATTTTACTGATTCACAATTATAAAAATCACAAAATAAATCACTTTAAGTGGTAATTACCTTAATACAAATTATCTTAATTTCAACTACATTTTAAACAATACATGACTTCTATTTTTAAAAAAAATATATAAGAGATTTCTTATTGGACACTGCCCTACAAAACAAACAAAAAAAACCTCTGTACTATCTCCTTATCATATCTTACATTACCTTATGAAATCTCATAGTTTTATAAGATGTTGGAACAGTCATGAATTAGACTGCTTAGGGTTTTTTTCTTAAAAACATGAATTGGCATGTTGGTTCTTGCAAAGTTGGGCCTAGGAAAACCTTCCTATGTTGAATTTTCTCATCTATAATTTAAGAGGCAAACTAATCATAGAATTTTTTCAAAACAGTAAGGACCCATGAATTCGTGTTAAAAATGAGAAATAAAATTGTCAACAGATATTACCAGTAGATGGGGTTGGAGTGGTAGTATGGAGGGTAAGGCACTTGCCTTACATGCAGGTTGAAAAAGGTTCAATCCCCAGCATCCCGTAAGGTCCCCCACACACTGCCAGGAGCAGTTCCTGAGTTCAGAGCCATGAGCAACCCCTGGGCATTACCAGGTGTGGCCCAAAAACAAACAAAAATTACAAGCAGATATACGCTAATAGAGAATTAACTCATGAGTTAAATTTCAAGCATCATACTCAAAGGTACTTTTGCTTTTTTTAAAAAAAAAGCAAAAATCATTTTTAAAACTTTTTTTTTCTTTTTTGGGTCACACCTGGAGATGCTCAGGGGTCACTCCTGGCTCTGCACTCAGGAATCATTCTTGGCGGTGCTCAAGGGACCATATGGGATGCTGGGAATTGAACCCGGGTCAACCGCATACAAGGCAAATGCCCTACCCGCTGTGCTACCGCTCCTGCCCCTTAAAAAGCATTTTTTAAAAAAGCAAAATTCACAGGTATTTTTTTTCTTTGGGTTATATTAACTTTTGGTGGCCAAACCCAGCTTTACTCAGTCTTACTCCTGACTCTGCTCAGGGATCACTCCTGGCAGGCTTGGGGGACCATGTGGGGTGCTGGGGATCAAACTCAAGTTGGCCCCATGCAAGGTCAGTGCATGTACTATCACTCTGGCCCCTCAAGTTCGCTTTTTAAAAACACATCTTTCAAGGTGCCAGCGATCAAACCCAGGGCCTCCCAGATGGGAGGTCTTCACTCTAAATGCTGAGCCACATTTGTGGCCAAAAGCTCCTGGCCAGGGAAGCAGCTTGGCAGTAGAGCAGCTGTCTCTTCGCATGTGCGAGGCACAGAGTTCAATCCCCTGAGTTACAGAAACAAGGCCCTGGATCTTTCATTCTCTATGTTTCTGAATGTTGTCTGAACTCAATTAAAGACAAACTAATGTAAAAAAAAAATTACCTCTCTTGACTGTTGAAGGCTGTTCTTAGGAACCCTGAAGCCATGAATACTGTCATCAAAGCATTTAATAAAGAAGAGGCAGCTATCCGTAGATTTTACCTTGGAAATAAAAGCAAGGAGTAAGACACCACCACTATGGCGTGGCAAACAAAGTCCTAAAACTATATCATAAAATTAAATGTACTAACACAATCAAGTCACAGCTAACTGAAGATAAAATATTGGGTAAAAACTCAATAAATAAGAATAACAAATGTATTATAGTTTCTTATATAAAATTTGGCTTGAATATTTTTTAACTCAAAGTAAATATTAATAGTCCACTAGGTACATGTTGTTTCTATTATACATGACAGCATGTAATTGGGCTAAAGAAACCCTAAAACACCACAGTTCTAATTATTTATTCGTACCCCTCTTCTAAACATTTAAAATATAGAAAATAATTGAGTTGAATGTAAAATAATGATGCAAGATTGATATAGAAAAGGGAAAGCATAAGATAATAATAATAAATAGGGCCGAGAATGATAACCTAGCAGGTAGAGCATCAGCCTTGCATAAGGCCGGCCCAGGTTCAATTCCTGACATTCCTTATGGTCCTCTGAGCACTACCATGGGTGATCAATCCCTGAGTGCAGAGCCAGGAGTAATCCCTGAATATTATCGGGTGTACCCCACCCCCCAAAAAATAAGAACAACTAACTCTCTTTTTAAAAGGTAAATTTGGAAAGAGGAATTAGAGCTTCAGCAGTAAGGGGAATTAGGACTCCAGCACGTAAGGCATGTGTGAGACCATGATTTTGATCTATGGCTACAGATGGTCTCCAGACACTGCAGGGTGTAGCTCTAGGAGCCTCCAAACTGCTGAGTCCATGAAGCATCACATCAGTGGCCCAAACACTAAATCATCCAGCCTTATACAGCTCAGCTGAGTATAATGAGGAGTGGACCATGGGCCCTTTGAACACTGCTTAAAAGGCCAGTGCTCAAAAAAAAAAAAAAAAGATTTAGACTAATGACTCCAGATTCTACCAGAGGACTACCCCAGCCCCACTTACAGAAAACAACTCTAGAATCCAGATGCAAGCAAAAAAATGCTACTTGAAGGAAGTAGACATTGGATAATTTTGTAAATATAGGCAGAAATTTTAACATACCCTCTCAGCAACTGATACAATTAACTAAAACTTTAGCAAAGACACAAAGTCTAGTACTGTCAAACATCAGAACTTAACAATACTATTAACCATGACTTTATTTATAGTACACTGTATCCAACAATAACTAAAACAGGTTTGCCAAGTGTATCTGTGAAGATGATCCAGAAGCAAAAAAAAAAAAAAAAAGAATCACAGGGAAAATGTGAAAAAATCAGAGTGGAATAAAATTAGAAAAAAAACAAGGCACTCTTCCCAAGGCACTCTTCCACAAAACAGAAAACAAAACACACACAAGATGACCAGAAAAACCTAAATTATTTGGAAATAGACAATATACTTATAAATATTCAATGGTTCATAACAGAAAGAAAATAATAGAAATTTTAAAGAATATTTTGAACTGAAAGACAATGAAAACATTAATATACAAAAATTAAACCAAAATAGCTACGAAGAGAAACTCCAGCTACAAATAAAGGTAAAGGTAAAGGCCCTCCCGTTGATCGTCGATTTGCTCGAGCGGGCCCAGTAATGTCTCCATTGGAGACTTTGTTGTTACTGTGTCTGGCATATCGAATACTCTCGGTAGCTTGCCGGGCTCTCCGAGAGGGGTGGAGGAATCGAACTTGGGTCGGCCATGTTGGCCGCTTGTAAGGCAAATGCCCTACCCGCTGTGCTATCGCTCCAACCAACACAGTTCTTAATAAATAATCTAAGTTTCCACCTTGAGAAAAGTGTGAGAGAGTAAATTAAACCCAAAGTAGAGAGGGGACTTTTTTGTTTTATTGTTTTGTTTTGTTTTGGCCTCCTAAGAGACCCAGGGCTCTTAATTTTTCAGGAGGCCCAGGGCTCTCCATTTTACCCAGCGTCTAGTGGCAGTTCAGTGCCAAGGTCTGAGACTACCATCTCCTCCCGCCATGGTGCTCAGTACTGCTAGGGCTGTACCCAGCAATGCTTGGTACTGGGGGTTGAATTCAGGTTTGCCACATGCAAGATATGCACATGAACTCCTGTACTATGTCTCTGGCCCCAAAGAATTTTTTTTTTAATGATTAGCACTGTAGCACTGTCCCCCCCCCCCCCCCGCCCCGTTGTTCATCGATTTGCTCTAACAGGCACCAGTTACTGTCACTGTCCTCCTGTTGTTCATCGATTTGCTCTAGCGGGCCCAGTAACGTCTCCATTGGAGACTGTTGTTACTGTGTTTGGCATATCGATTACAATACGGGTAGCTTGCCAGGCTCTGCCCTGCGGGGGCGAGATACTCTCAGTAGCTTGCCAGGCTCCCCGAGAGGGGCGGAGGAATCCAACTCGGGTCAGCCATGTTGGCTGCGTGCAAGGCAAACGCCCTACCGCTGTGCTATTCCATTGTGAGACTTGTTGTTACTGTTTTTGGCATATCGAATATGCCACGGGGAGCTTGCCAGGCTCTGCTGTGTGGGTGGGATACTCTTGGTAGCTTAAACATAAATAATCTAAGCCAGGGAGATAGCTCAAAGGGCTGGAATTCATGCCTTGAAGTGCAAGGCACTGAATGAATTCAATACCCAGCTCTGCATGCCCCTCCCCTCAAGCACCTCTGGGTGTTGCTCTGGTGGCCTCCAAATACCTCTGAGCTTGAACAGAACTACATCAGCTATACAGCTGTCAGAGTACCACTGGGAGTGGCCTCCAGGACTTCTGAGTGCAGTTTGGAGCAACCCACCCCCCCAAAAAAGATTTACAAATCAGAAAAACCGAAAAAACAGAAAACCAAATAAATAGAAAACTTGAAAAATTCAATGAAAGCAGCTAATTCTTTGTGGAGAAAAAAAAAATAATGAACTGGATAAATAACAAGCCAGGTCTAGGAAAAAATACATATTAATAACTTAAATATGAAACAGGATATAATACAATCTTACAAACATTAAAAATAAGGGATTCATATTATCAGTAAGTCTGATAACTTAAAGAAAATGGATAAGTTTCTTGAAAGGGAAAACTTACAAATATGAACAAACAAAAACAAACTGTCCTCCCGTTGTTCATCGATTTGCTCGAGCGGGCCCAGTAATGTCTCCATTTTGAGACTTGTTGTTACTGTTTTTGGCATACAGAATATGTCACTGGCACTCTCAGTAACTTGCCGGGCTCTCCGAGAGAGGCAGAGGAATCAAACCCAGCTTGGCCAGGCTGGCTGCACCAGCAGCAAATACCCTACCACTGTGATATGAAACCCATAAAAATGCCCTTGATTTGGCAAATACATCCAGTACTGTATTAAATAAGAGTGAGAGTGTAGGCACCCTTGTCTTGTGCCTGATCTTAGAGGGAAGGCTTTCAGTTTTTCCCAAGAATAATGCATGCTGTGGGATTGTGTTAGATGGCTTTGATTATATTGAGGAATGCTTCTTCAACTCCGATTTTGTTGAGAGTTTTTATCATAAATGGGTGCTGGATTTTGTCAAATGCTTTCTCTGCATCTACTGATATGATCATACGGTATTTATTTTTCTTTTACGATATGGTGTATTGTGTTGGTTGACTTGAAAATGTTAAACCATCCTGGCATCCCCAGGATGAATCCTACTTGGTCATGATGTATAATCTTTTTATGAGTTGTTGGATTCTATTTGCTAGAATCTTGTTGAGGATCTTTGCATCTGTATTCATCAGGGATATCAGCCTGTAATTCTCTCTCTTCTCTCTCTCTCCTCTCACCTCTCTTTCCCCTCTTCCTCTCTGTCTGTCTGCCTGTCTGTCTCTCTCTCTCTCTCTTTCCCTCTCTCCCTCCCTCCCTCTCCCTCTCTCCTCTGTCTGCTTTGGGTATCAGGATGCTACTTGCCTCATAGAAACTGTTTAGGAGTATTTCTGGAAGAAGTCAAGCCTTCACAATTTGCATATAAGTAATAATATACTTAGAAAATACTAAAGATTCTACCAAAAAAAGCTCCTAGAAACAATATATTTGTATAGTAAGGTGTTAAGTTACAAAATCAATACCTAAAATTTTATGGTTTTCCTATATATAAATGATGAAAGAGAAGAAAGAGATATTAAAAAAACAATCCCATTCACAATTGTGCCTTGGAAAATCAAGTACCTCAGAATCAGTTAACTAAAGAGGCTAAGAATTTTTATTTGTATTATTCAAAGAAAAATACAAAACACTGTCCTCCCGTTGTTCACCGATTTGCTCGAGCAGGCCCATTTTGAGACATCTCCATTTTGAAACTTGTTGTTACTGTGTTTGGCATATTGAATACATCACGGGTAGCTTGCCAGGCTTTGTTGTGCGGGCAAGATACTCTGGTAGCCGGCCAGGCTCTCTGAGAGGGGCAGAGGAATCAAACCTGGCTTGGCTGGGCTGGCTGCATGCAAGGCAAATGCCCTACCACTATGCTACCGCTCCAGCCCTCACAAAACACTACTTCAAGAAATAAAGGAGGATACAAGGAAATGGAAATACATCCCCTCCTCATGGATGGAAGGATTAACATTACCAAAATGGCAATACTCACCAAAGCACTATATAGATTCAATGCAGTACCTATACGGACAGCCATGACATTTTTCAGAGAAAAAGATTAAACACTCCTGAAATTCATATGGAACAATAAACTCCCATAAACAGCTAAAGAAATTCTTGGGGAAAATAATATAGGAGGAATCACCTTTCCCAGCTTCAAGCTGTACTACAAAACAGCAGTAATTAAAACAGCATGGTATTGGAATAAAGACAGACCTGCAGATCAATGAAATAGAACTGAATATCCTGATACAGACCCTCAAATATATAATCATTTACTCTTTGGTAAAGGATCAAGAAATATGAAGTGGAGAAAAGTAAGCTCCTTCAACAAGTGGTGCTGGGAAAATTGAGCAGCTACATGTGAAAAAATGAACACAGACTTCTTATCAAACTCAATGTATAAAAAAATGGGGAGAAGAAAT